ATAGGTTATATCTTTAAAAAGTTTGGAGATCGAAAAAAATACCACTAGATTTTTACGTTTCAGGAAATTAACCCTTTGCACTCTTCAAAGTCGCTGTTATGGCGACATACTTCATTACTCTGGAGAACTTAGAAATGTAAAATTCAAGTTTTTTAACATTACTAAAATAATGCAACTTAAATATTAAAGGTCTTTTCTTTCTTAACAAATCTTTACATTTTCAAAAGTTTCACTGCAAAAGTACGTTGAAATTGCTATCTAATCTTATGAAAAGATGCTTGGAGTGCAAAGGGTTAATAATTTTGGACATTCTACATTTCCGCATTACTTTAATGCATTTTTAGAACTTCAGAATTTTATACTTTTACTGTTCATATGTAATGCACTGGTTGATGTAATATCTCACACTTTGACACTAGAAGAACCAGCCGGGTCGAAAATGACCCATTAACAACTTTCCAAAAAAGAACAAAAATGAATTTTTAATACCGACAAGTATTAACCTTCGTAACTTTGACTTTGCTGTCAACATGTTCTAGAAAGAAGTAGCTTCGTACTGTAAAAATATGGTTTCTGTAATTCTTCTGTCGCGAACGATGCTAAGTTTAATTAGGCTAATAGACAATTAACGTAGTTCGGTGTGTCCACATTTCCCTCCCCTCGTCAATCGCTTTTACCACGATTTACACGGCTCTCTTTAGCGGTTCGCTGCTTCAGCGCGAACTTCGACGATTCCTATTTGGAATCCTTGCCAAACGGACTTTAGATCTATTTTCCGCGTGAATTGCATACAACAAATTGTAAACCAATGTGAAAGTGATGCGATCGATTAAAGCGCATGTGATTAAATGCATACATATGTACACTACCGGCCAAAAGTTTGGAATCACCGAGCATTGCAATTTACACCAAAAATTTTCAGAAAAAAGTCAGCGACCTTGAGAATCTTTTATCATTCGAATCAATTGTTACACTTAAAAATCGTAGAATAATTCTGGACATTACCTTTTTGCATAAATTAATAGATAATAATATTGATTGTACACCATTATTGGGATTTGTAAATTTCTACGCACCGTCTCGACATTTAAGAAGTAGAGCGACTTTTCACATTCCAACGCATAAATCGAAATACAGTACATATGACCCAGTAAATCGCATTTCTACTTTATACAGTGCCCTTATGTATGAAGTAGACCTTTTTAATCACTAGCCACCCTCAAAAGGAATCTTTAACAAGTCCTTAGAATGGCTGAAGTATAATAGACGTAGATTAATATTGTATAAATGTGCCTGTACTAGCTATATAAGTTTGTAAAAAAGGGCATAGCCCGTTAATTGTATTATTCAATAATAATAATAATTGATATGAGATAAATTGATGAAAGTAGAATTGAGATAAACTTCAGATCTATAAAAAATTAGCAGCAGATTTAATATTGATGAAAAGTGGGTCCAAACTTTTGGCCGGTACTGTATGAATCATCAGCCATACTAAGGAATATAGGTGTACTTATGTACATATACATGTATATACATATATGATATCTTAACTAAGATGCAACAGGTGTGCACATTAAAAACATATAGATATTATGTATTTTAAAAAAGTTTAAGCAAGTTTGTTAATAATATGAAATGACTTAAAAATGATATAGTGGGCAAGAGAATTGCTTTCTGGTACCGAATTCTTGAGGATGACATACAAACACATCCTATTGTAATGGTTCTTTTACAGTTAACAATGGAAACAGCATCATAAAATTGAAATGAATCCTTAGCGAGAAAAAGTTTTGCAAAGTTTCCAGAATTTAAGGGGGTATTCTAGTGTGAAACGCGTATTTTAGGTTGTCTTGGGGATTTTTTTTCAAAGAAACTGTAACACTTGTTGCAGTCAAACTTTCAGGTTATATTTATTCATATTTTAATAACCTTTATAATTTTTTTCATAGAAAAGGAATCAAAATTGATGGTACTATATGCCTTCGTACGCAATCGCAAAGGTATCACGGCGTCCGTGATATTGGCCGTTCTGCTTATCTAAAATAAGAAACCCAAAATGATTCTTAATCCGGATGAGTTTGGCTGTAGCAGGAATTAAAAGGAAAGAAAAGAGTCGATAAAAAATAGCAAGGCTTTGACTTTTGATTATCTATTTTTTCATGTTCTTTTAACTTTCGGGGGCTTAAAAAAGAAGGAAGTATTGAATTCATTTTACATAGTTCAAGCTGTAGTGATACATGCATTGAAAGTGCACATAAAAGTTTAAGCTATAGTGATACATGCATTAAAAGTGCACATAATAGTTTAAGTTAATCGGTGGAGTAGATTTTGAAATATCATGGACGCCATATTAAGAAAACGTAGATTTGAGAAAGACTTATTTAAAGTTCTGTGTACCGATAATAATCTTTCTATGTATACAGGAAAATTCAAAAATACAAAAAGTGATTGTACGTATACAATAAAAATCATACTTATGACTAATCTGCCAGCCCAGAACCATAAAGGGGGCCTTCTTCTTGCTCAAAAATATCCTGCTGTGACGATTTTTCTTCTCTCTCTGAGCAATTCGAGCTTTCTTTGCAATTGCATGTGGTAACAATTCCGTTGATCGTTACGTCTTTCAAATAAACATAATTTCGTGTAATTTTAGGAGTTCAGGCATAGGGTTGTGCACATTTTTGAAACTACATTCTTTCAGAAAATGCAAAGAGAAGAAAATCGATGTTTTCAAAGGTTCACGGTAGATACCCCTTTAACAAACACATATGCAGATACAACAAAAATATTTGGAATGCTTGTAATCTATACCTTGCAATATCTTGAATGCCTGTGAAACGTTTAAAATGATAGCAGATATTTCTTAAGTTTAGGAAAAGTTAAACAAAGAGTATCCTTAGGAATTACTTAGTTAAAGAAAAAGCTCTTTATACATTCATTTAGACTTATTTATTTATTTATTTTATGAGATGAATCTCTTAGTATAAAAATTTATGTCGAGCTTTTTCTAATAAGGCGATAAAGTTTTTGTAGAATGAAGACCAAATTAATAAACTGTATTGAAAAAGAGGTTTAATAAAGGAATATTACAGCATCCTTAGCGTGCTAGAGTGAATAAAATCCTTTGATATTCTGTCAATAAAACGAAGAGATCTAAATGCTTCAGATGTTATATTACTATAGTGGTCGGTTTTAAAAACTAATCGCCAAGAGAGAGAGAGAAAATTAGTGTCAAATTTCATCAAACTATATTGAATCAATTTATAAGGATTATTACTGATGCCATTTGGAAAAGACACGGTTTTAAGAAAAATGTATTTGCAGTTTTGCCAGATGCAGTAACTCTTGCTGTACAGTCTTTCACTGTAGGCAATATAATTTCGTCATTATTGCAATCTTTTCAATACGAATTTCTCCACATTATTTTTAAGGGTTCAAACCATCGTTTCATAAAAAGAAATTTCGATTTTTTTCGCTGGAATGTAAATTCCATAATAATTCACTCATCGAAAAAAAAAAAACAATAGTCTACGCTAATACATAATTGAAATTATAAAATAAATTCATTTTAATTACTAAGTTATTTAATAAAAATTCGAAATTATTCATACACTTAATTACTATATCTCGAATAAAGCAAATTTCTTATAAAATATTTATTTATCTTGTTTTTTCATTGTTTGTGTTTCATCGAGTTACATTTTTACAGTAAATACACACGTCGAATATTTATAAAATAGTTCAGTAGGGCTAGTTGTAATTTACGAGAAAGTTCTGAAACGTGGAAACGATAATTACACATAAATAAGGCAAAACAACTAAAGCAGTTTTTATAGTATGTACAAACGTCTTTTTATTATTTCTGTATGACACTATACAGGGTGTACTAATAACTTAGTCCATCTTAAATATTTCCGTTACTTGTAATAATATGAAAAAATGTTGCATAGAAAACTTGCATGGCACGGAGGAGGACATATTGTGATGTCAATAATTTTTGCGTGGGTGAAGGCGTAGAGTAGATTTTAAGGACATCTTTACATTTTTAAATGGGATGCTGTATTTTTTTTATCGCTTTGTGGTAGCGAAAATTGTAATCTTTGTGTGCATGTTTTGATAGATAGCATTTTTTAGTACATTTGAGTACATTTTGACGAGTTTCGCCATAAATTAGGATCATATCCACTTGTTCTTCGAAAGAAAACTTCATCCTGATTATTACTGTGATCAGCGATCAATCGATATTGTCCAAAGATAGCTTCGATTCTTCAGTAAATAGAAGAAACTATTATTTGTAATATGTATTTTTTAAATAAACTTTAACAAAATCTACTGGAAAAGCCTGGGTTAATTAAGAAAATCGATAAGGAGAAGACCCAAAGTGGAAAAGCTAAAATGGATATCGCGTTTCAAAGTAAATAGCGTTACACAATGTGCATCAGCTTTTTGTTTGGGGGGGAAAAGAAGGATACACGGGAGAAACTGAGAAAGGCAACGTTGAATGTGGAAGAGTGATCTACGTCGAATAATCTATATGAGAGTATCGGAGTGGGAAAGCAGGCAAAATGTACACGGCTTGCGCGATTACATGATTTGCAGCAGAACGGCGAAAAATGGAGCGGAGTGGTGAAAAGAGGAGAGGAGGAGTGGCGTGGTGAGTGGCAAACCTCGCAATCTCATACTCGCGATCAGGCTGTCGACTCGACGACAACCCTCCTTGAGCCAGTGCTTCACCCTCCGTCACGCACCGCAGTTTGCGTTCCGCTTGCCGAGAGTAAACTTCTTTAGGAGAAAGCTTACCTCTTGCCAACAACTTCCGGGATGAATCGAAGGATCGCAGTGTTAATCGTTGGCCTCGCGCTTGTCTCGGTGGTTTGTTCAGGTGATTATTTTGAAAATTTCTTTTCTAGCGAAACACGCGGGCCAAACTTAGAGAACCGGGCTCATTGTCGAACATGGTGAAACGTCAGTGAAAATATACAAGTAAAAGTTTGTTAACTAGAGTGATGACATTTTTTCCCATGACAGTGGCTCAGACAGACGTTGCTGGTTAAGTATGTTTATGTTTCCGTATCACATGAATTGTTCGAGTGACGATGCTAAATATTTTTTCACCTTGCGTTACTTTTGTATAGTACTTAACTTGACACATCACTGACATTTTTATATGTTTTTATATTTTGCGGTAGTGGTGCAATCTGTTAGAATTGAAAGAGTACAGAAAGGAACGTAGTAATATAAGTATTATTTTTCGATATTTACATGTAATCTATGGATTATTATCTGTATATTAAATCAAACGTAAACATATGAATGTATAGTAATAAAATATGATAAACTAAAATTGCTTTTGTGACGCTTTATGCAAATGCTTTGTAAAAAATTTTCAATAGTATAAGTTTCGATGCAAGTTCCATGGAAATTGTAAATAAGGTTACTTCTACTACGACAAAAGTGTAGCAAAAGTATATATAAAATAGCTCTTGCTATTTGAAAAATTATATTATTCTAACTTTTTGAATTTTTGGTTTAATTTTATTAAATACAATTGTAGAAAATAATTGAATTATTTATATCTGTTTAATTTTATTAACAATTCAGGTATCTGTAACAAAAGAATTTTTTATTCTCTAAGAAATGAAGTGTATTTTCCAATCATTTTCTCAATATCACATATACTGAGTTACTTATAAATACAAGATTGAAATAAAATTTGCCAACTTTCTCACAATTTTCGACAGCATTGAGCGATTAATTATGAATCATGCAACTCAGAAAAATGAATACTTACTGTAAGGTTTAAACGTCTACAACGTTGCATTGGAGATATTCCATTAAATTTCACAATGAAATGTTTTAATCTCATTAATTAGGACATTTATCAACTACTAAAATATTACTTATTTCGAAGACAACGAATTATCATTATTCCTTATTTCTTTCGCTACGTAAAAGGAAGCTGTTTAAAAATGAAAACTACAATGTGAATTAATTTTTAATAATTTTCCGACGAACATCTTATCATTTTTCATAAGTATATGCTGTACAGAGTAACACTTACTACTAATAATTGCAACTAGGTCTAATTCAATACTTGTGGCCAACTTTTTAAACAATTTTAACACTTTTCGCGATTCTAGCGTACAACCTGTAGCTGGTTGCCGCACGATTCGGTCGCCAAAAACGAATGAAAATTATCCTTTCTGCAATTACTTATTACTTAAAATTGAACAAATTTATGCACTACAGTGGCTAATTTGTAAATACATAGACAATATTAATAATTTATAAATATTACGACAATATTAATACATAAAAGACTTTGAAATTTATTAAATGAACTTTTTAAGAAATTAACCAAATAATTTTTAAGAAAATTTTACTTGTTTCTTTTCGGAGAAATTGCCTGCAAATAAATGAATTTAACAAAAGATTTATGGTAACTTTTTAACTGAATAATGTCTTTATTTTCTTTTGACCGAATTGATGTCAATAAAGTCTTGTGGTCCACTTAAAAGTAGAAAAGAACGTAATGTTAGTATACATTTTAAGTAGCATTACCATCGAAATGGAAGTAAAATCGTGATTCTTTGTTCGCTGGAATTTTTTGTCAGTTGTGGATAATTTGAAAACAGAAGGATAGCAGTTTAACTGCTGTTTGTCAAACTGCGAGTTACAGCTTATAGGGGTGAGTAGTGTCGCGACTTTCGGCGCCACGATACTTCGACCCAAATAATGGCTATATAGAACGTGCGTATGTCTCTACTCCTAGAACGAATAGAAAAGGCAGGCACTAGAAATTCAAGCTCGATTAGGAACATCCTCGCGACGTGTGAGCTCCCTCCGTTTGTTTATTAGAATTATATGCGACAATCGGGAAAGTCTCAGTGCTTTAGAGGCGTCTACCAGGCGCCAGAGGGAGTAAATTATTTACTCCTTCCGGAAAACAGAGAATCGTTGAACTGAAATGGAATAACCTAGAAAAATCGCTCGTATACATTCCCACGGAAATTCGTGTGTAATATTATCCCGCTTCCGCTACCGCTTCCTAGTTTTCTTCTTGTTATTGTACGACCTGTACGCCGAACGAGAAGTCTTATAAACCATTTATGAATCATTTTCGAGTCTGTACATATTTTACTTTTCATTTCAAAATTTCTATTTTATATATTTTTCTTCCCTTGGTTTTATATTTATATTTTGGATTGAAATGAATTTTGCAAAATTTGATAGATTAGTCAATTCGGAAAGTTATTTTTGCGAAACTAATGATTTTTAATTATTACCATAAATAATTGTAAATAGAACAAGCAACATGTTTTTACTGTTACTGCTGTGAACAATTTGTATATGCTATTGTTTTAAAATTTTATCAATTAAATCCGAGAATGCGAATTTGTTTTGGACTACATTTCCTTATTATTTTTAATTTGTTGGTAAACTCAGTTAAGTTGTAATACTTAAGTTTCTTAATGAATGATTATTTAATATCGACTTTGTACTGTAAAGTGAAGTATGAGTTGTCGAATATGAAAACAGGTTTAGTTTTAACGATACAAAATGGGCGTCAATATGTATAAACAAATGTTATTAATATGATATTAGCACTGTGTATTTTCCAAGAACAGTTAAAATAATTAGTATGAACATTATGTTTAAATATATGTGAACTTGATAGTATGATATTTACCCTCCGTAGGCAAGCCGGGTCTTTTATGACCCAAGTGAAAACTTCATTCCCGTATTTCTTCGAAGCGAATTTTTATTTTTATTGAAAACAGTTTTAAACATTTGACTCAACGAACAATTGTATAATGTAGTAGAGACTTTGATAAGTACTTGAGAATTTTTTTAGATTTTTTGAAAGCTTAAAACAGTAAAAAAATTAGACTTGGGCAGAAACTATCCAGTTTGCCTGCGGGATGTGAAAAAAAGTGAAAGAATTTTCATTACTTTAGAATTTTGCAATAAAGTTTGTTAACATGGCATAAACGAAAATGGAGACAAGCATGGTAATTATGTCTCAGCTTATATTTTGAGTATGTACGACTTCATAAGTTCGTGACTGAAACGTGACAAATGGCGGAACAGGTGTACAAAAATACTGCAATGTCAAGCTTGAGAACGTGTTGAAGATGGTAGAAAGAGGCGAGATAATGACAAAGCAAGTGGTTGCCCTTGGAAATTACGAATAAATGAACCTCTAGGTCAGTTTTTGAAATGAAAAAAAGATACTTCAACATGTCTACTTGTAGATTTTTTCTATTGAAGGAATTAAAATTGGAACGTCAACGTTTTCCCAATCACACTGAAGAAGATTTTTTAAATAATTTCCTATTGCTATATGAATACTTTGGGAATATGATAAAATTTTGCAATAATCAACGTCCTGTTTTTATAGGATCAGTTTAAAGACACAGAGTACGTTGCGCTATTATTAATTATACACAGCACAGAGGATGCAACGAGCAAAAACGAAGAAATAAGAATCGTAAAGCTGTAAGGGACGAATCTCGGCTTAATTAATGCTCTTAATCGTAACTTGAGTATAACTGATAATATAAATACATAAAGAATTATATCATACAACGATACTATTTCATAAATAGTTCATGACATATGAAGACTCACAAATTCATCATAATCGTTGTGAACTGTTAACTAAGAAGCGTGTTAATTGTTTCTTGTTATGTTGCAGATGAGATTTTGAAATGCTACATGTGTTCTTCCGAAACGCACTCTGGTTGCGACACCGATCCGAAAGCGCACAACATCGAACCTGTCGAATGTACTCTAAACAACATGGTTTTGTGGCAACAAGCTGTTCAACAGCACAGCGTTTTAAAGCAAATATCGAATATCTTTGACGTGGACAATTCGCAACATTATCAAGCTACTGCGCCATTGGCCTGTGCTAAAATGGCTGTCAAGGGTAGTTATGAAATTATTCGTTCAATTTTTAGCCATAGTGGAAAATCGAGAATGAAAGGACGAACGAGTGAGCGAGGAAGAACGTTGAACGAACGTTTCCTCTAATTAGGGCTTTTTTTTCTTCTTTCTTTTTTAATCGTAAATTAACTCTTATCTCTCTACGTACAGGTGCAAAGGGAATACCCGTTGATAAATATTTCAATTGTATGTTTACCAGTTAGCGATCGGGACGTCACGGTGAGAAGCTGCCAGACTGCGAAGACAGAGACCATCGACCCGTGCAAAACGATACGGGGAAAATTCGCCAATGACGGTTTGAACCTGCAATTTTGCGCACTGTGCATGCAGGATGCTTGCAACAGTGCTGTTACAGTTTCACCAAGAATTTTCCTCGCTCTACTATCTGTGCTTGGGGTTAGAATTTTGGGCGGTTTTTACAACGGCGCGTAACCTTTATGTTGCATCGAGTTACAGAATTGATTGCAGTTGTCATCGGAGGCGCGTTACAATCATTCATAATGCATTGATAAACTTGGAAACATGCACACATATGTACACATTGTTCATTGATCTACATCGTTCCACGTGCACGATTCTTACCGGATAGATGAGAAATTTAACATTTTCGCATTGTTGGATTTCTTACGACGACAATGAAATTTCCTTTCTGTACATTTCTTTACATTTCAGGCACACAGAACACCAAAGGATACATTACTAAGCATTTAAAACAAAAAAAATCTATGCGAAAGAGGATAAATTACTCGAAGTAAATTTGTAGTACTCTGTAAAAGATCTTTTTTTTATTAATTTTTTTTATCACATCACGATAATTTATGATACTGCGCGTTTTTAAATTTCACTTACGATCATTTTTTGTTCATTTCCTTTTATATTCGAACGAAACCAGGAAATAATTACAGACAAAAATGTGGCTTTCTGTCCAATTTCTATTCCCGAACTTTTAAGTGTCAGCTGGCTAATCACATTTTGTACACCGAGTTCGAAAAAATTGACACCTGTAGAGTTACCATTTAACGAATCCGTGACTAATCACCGTCGATAATCGCGCATTATTATGCAACGAGCATTGCCTACATGCGTGTTCACTATAAAAATTCACCGTAAAGATATTATATTTATCAAAGTGCATTTGCAATTAATGAATATTAATGAGAGCACGACTTTACAAAACATAAATAAATAAATGTATATTGTATATGTACATATGTGTATTCTACCAACGAAGTGGCTTGTGAAATTGTTTCATTTGTCCTGTGTTTACGTCAAGAAATGCTATTGAGCTTCTCAAGGATGAGCATACTATTGTCGTACAAAAATTATGACGAGCAATAAAATATATATCGAGCGATCGTGTTGTCTTGTCGTTGAAAATTCAATCCGTAATAATCCCGATGAAAAACAGCTGAAATATAATTTCATAAGTAAGGAATTCGAACTCTGTATAAATATGTAACGTACACAATCTATGAGGTTCGTTAAGCGAGCAACACCATTCTCATTAACGGAAATAAACATTTTCGAAGAAGGATATTAAAGAAAAATAGCGTTCCCAAATTTATACCGAATCGAGGTTTATTAAATTTCGGAATTAATTAAATGTTATTTAACGCACGGCTTATGAAAAAAGCAATGGTTGCTTTCAATATTAACTCCACGTTTCACTACAGAGGCAGAAATAGTATTACAATTTGTTATTCAAAAGAGTATTCTTTTCTTCGGTGTAATTTTGGTATATTTTATTCCGTTTTCAGAGGAAAAAATACTTGTGAGATTTAAATATACGATCAATTTATGTAGTTTAACGATTAAACGCAATATTAACAAGGGAACATCCCGATTTTAATGAAACGTTAGTGTATGGTAGTTCTCAAAAAAATATTCTACATGTATTCTTTTTATCGAAATCACCCTCAAATTTCAGGTAGTAAACACATTTGGTCCAATATTTCGAAAACTATTAGAGATAGAAAAGGGTTAAAAATATTTATCGATTTTCGCGTAAATTTGTGTGCAGACTGCATACCCAAAACGTAAAATGCAGATGTATCAGAATTTTGATTTTTTGAAAATTAACATATAAATTCGGTTTAGTCGTGATTCAACTAATTTACGTATTCGTTATTCGTGAATAATTCGTTATAACTTTTACCCAACACTGCCACAGGCGTAGTTGAGCAGCTTTGGTATAGTCTTTAATTTTATTACTAGAGATAAGATAGCAGGTAATGAAAAGATTTGAAACATACACAGATCCCAAGGTGGAACTAACATGGTTGGACAAGTTAGCTTGACGATAGTAATTATTCTAATAAATTTTGGTAAGTAAAATCTGCTTTTTAATTTTTCACGACGATAGTTTGTCAATGGAGTTGAACTTAACTTAATTGACAAATATTTTGATCATTTGGAAAAAGTTTAACAATAACTTTTTCAAACCCTTAAGCACTGTAAGTATGTAACTTATTAGGTTCAATTGTGAAGTGAGATTTTCATTCTAAAAGACATTTAAGGAATAAAATGTGACAAACGAATTGGAGTAACAAACTTTTAAACTATTATTAGGTGTTTGTTTAATTTACTGCAGACGTTTTTACTTATAAAATTGAAGAAATTTTTAGTAACAAAATTGAAGAGTTTATAAGATGAATTGAATGTTTAGTTAGAGAATCCTTCATGTGCAATAATTTGAAATTAAATTTTAACATAAATAATGGGAAATGTACCAATTATCTGATACAACGATTAATGCAATTTTGTATTCTAACTAAAAATATAGGAATGCATAGGAAAAGTGTAGGTTGTTAACTATAATGTATTAAGCAATTTAGGATTTGGCACTCTTCCCATGACTTTTCTTTGAAAATATGAAAGACCTACTATTTCATATTTATTGAAATACCAATGAATATACATACTGAAGAATTTTTGAGTAAGAATTTACAATGTCTTTACAAGAAAGTTGTTGCATACATCATAACGTATTATCAGTAAATAGTGGACAAACAAATTCAAGATAAATATATTTACAAGTAAATGCTATTACTTTTATGGTAGATAGTAATATTAACTTTTTGAAATGAACATTCTAATCTATAAAAAAGTAATATTACTGATACCAATGTAATTATTTTTAGTTAATTGTAATAGTATAAAATATTTAATCACAATGAAAGACAAAATTACCATCTAATTACATATTTTCAATATTTAGTAACATTATTTAAATGGACTTATTATACATTGTATTCTAACATACATAAATATTATTTAAAATAGTTCATAATATATAGTTTTGTGACAAAATTATAGAAAGTATATATTTTTATTCTTTAAGAGA